TTTCTTTGATCCAATTAGTTGGTTGGTTGATGTTAGGTTTCTTGGTTCAGAGTCCCGTGACTGTGTAGTTCTTTTGCTCGTAAAGGCTGACTGGGTCAATGTCGATGTGTTTATTGATTGATCTTTGTGTGGAGTGCCACGCCTCGGCAAATTCTCCCTCCCTTTTTGTTCTTGCGTGAGCAAGTATTTGAACATTGTCCCATCTGAACTTGTGTCCTTCTCTGTCTTCGTGAATTGAGACGATGTCACCTCGATTGGTGATGAAACGTTTGCAATCCAACTGCCAAGCTCGGCGAACAGACCACAAACCAAGCGGCGTACCCGAGCTACCTACAGTCGTACCGGTTGCCTGCTGGCACAAATCCCCTGATATCAGTTAGGATCAGCGATCCCGACGATATCCAGTAGTCAATAGATTGTATCGGCGAAGTCAAACAGACATAACTGAATGCTACTGGCCTAGCTCCTTTTTAATTTCGCCATGCTTTATCCACGTACTCGCTACCAGTACACTTTTGGTTTGACTGTAGATCTGGATCACTGGACACACGCACGGAGAAATGTAAAAGAGACGCATAACCACGCTTGGGTCTTGCATGCGTGTTTCCGCGAGAATCGCCTGTTTACCACCTTGATGTAGATTACGGACGTCGTAAGCTCGTATGTATAAAGGTTATCCTGGATTTTCCAAGATGTTATATTGCTTATTGTTAATAGTTAGCGGGAGTGAATAAGTCACATAGGTCAGATAACTGACAACAAACTGACCCAGTAATATTTGCTTGTGTGGTGGGAAAGGTTTGAAGGGCGACATTCGGGGGACAAAGCACTGTACTGGCAAATGATACTTCTCGGTCGCCCAGTCTGACGAAGGCAGTTTGGTTAAGCCACCTCAGCTCGAGCTTGTGATTCAAAAGTCCAATCCACAAAGTAGTTGGAGGATGTAAGGTTCTGTTCGGTGACCCTGCCCCTAGCCTCTGACTCAACAGTTTGAACCGCAAGGCAGCGTGCCTCAGCCGATGACTCAATGATCTGACCTTCTCGGCTGCAATGGGTTGTCCTAATCCGAGGCCACAGGGAGTAAGGCATTACTGTCTCACTCCCCACCTGCGCACAGCAGGTTCCTTTTGAGCAACGCCAGACTCTTTGATGTTAAAAGTATCTCGACCATATAGTGCGCCGGTAGAGAGCAGAACCAGAATCTCCTGGTTCTTACTGAGCGATGAAATCGGCTCTCCCACTTAGGGACACATCAAAAGACAGTGACTCGATATCACCGGACGTTATTTTCATAGAGCTCACTTAGATTGGCTCGATTGTGAATCATAGCTCAAGTGTCATTCAGACTGGGATGTTAGACGACTCTGGGTAGGCTTCAATCTACTGGCTATTCAGTGTGTCCCTTTGTTTTCAGTATGGTGTGTTATGTCGCACCAACCGAAAAATTAGCTGATCTTTTTTCAGCCCGATTCATGTGGGATATTCAGTAGAAATTCCATCACGTAATTAAAGTCTTCGAACCTGCGACCTTCCGGTCAATGGTTGTACACTTGAACATTTGGCTACGAGTGGCTGATCAGCAGTGTGATTAGCTGTCACTAAGACAGGACGTAGCGCCACGTGACCTTCAATAACGGAAAACACATCACGTGGTCACGTATTGACTGGCTCCTCGAGTGACAAGCTCTCAGGAGGAAGTTTCACACAGTGAAATTATCCTTTCTGGGAGCTGTTTACTGATTTATGGTGATGAAGATTTGGTAATGGTCAATGAAGTTGAAATGTGCCATTATTGGGAGATTTTTTATTGACTTTTTTGTTGTTGTGCAAATGATTGTATCTAACCGTTTGCATGCTTGCGAACTACGCTTGCTTGATGATCCCCAAGAAGTGGAAAAACGGCAGTGAGCTGTCGAGACGTTTCCACCAGCCTCATAAGTAGTCTGCTACGTCAAGAAAATACCTGCTACGGCCATACGCACAGCAGCCGCTATGCGCCATGGCACTGACCCCATCATGTCCTTGTTATGGATGACCAAGTTTTTGTCGTTTTTGTGCTCCTCGTTGGAGTCTGATGACATCGGATGAACTGGTAACATTTCGCGACTGTGCTTATCGCGTGGGTGAGGAAACCGTGCTTTCATGGTCGTCCGCCTGGCGACGGCGCTCTCTCAAAAAATCCAACTAGCATTTGAACTACTGATGAACGTACAGTAGCTAGCTGTAAGCGGCATTTTACGCCGTCCGCCTGTCAAACCCTTCTATAGACCGTATGGTCTCTTCGTCGACTGATGATCATGCTAATTTGATGCAGGTGTTTAAGTTGGAATAGTAGGAACCCACTAATGTGGTGATTTAGGCATAACATGAGAAAGGTCTGGCCTACCCATCTACACAAAATGTATCTTAAATTGTACTTTCCGGGAAGTTCTTTACAGCCCTTCGGCATTACAGACTACGGCTGACTACAGAAGACGAATGCTTGTGTCTATCTCACATTGATGCATCAAGAAAGTTTATTCACCTGATTGAAGAGGCGGCCCGTTTTGCATCGATTTTTGGCAGTATTTTGTCGCGCTTCGTACAATATTATTGTTAGTCTCATGAGGTCACCGAGTATGGGGAATTTCGGAGGACACAGGAGTATGACACTGATTGATGTTTCTCCAGTTGACACCATAAAACACGCGAATAACCCTTCTAGCGGTGACCTAGGCCAACTCTGTCTGGATGCACTGTTACCTGGACTCAATTTTAAAACCCACCCCAAGAGGATTTATAATTGAAAAATGAAAATTTAATGCCGTGGAGGCAGATTATGATCAATTTTCGATCATCCCGAAGAACTGCATCGTACGTCGAAAACTCGTTTGGACCTAAACTAATTGATCTCAGTAATGGCTTATGTGCATCGTCAAAATGTACCTTCTCGAGTGATCACATAAAGGCAGTACGTAAGCTGGAAATGAATGGGGGATACCGTAGTAAGTCAATCAGACAGGATTCGGCGCTTTCATTTTAAACAAAGCGGATTATGTATTCAAGCCCAAAGCAATTTTATCAATCACGTTTTTAATTTTTACCGGTGGAACAGCTCGTCAATCTGTTATTGGTGTGACGCATGTTATTCATCAGTTACGTATCCTTTTATCGCGTGATTCAATCTACCAGACTGAACCCAGTAAGCTTAAGTCCGTCGATTGCCACTCATTTCAACATTACAACAAACCTGTGAGTCCACTATTTCCGTCGGTCGCATGTTGGCACCGAACGGTTCGCCTTATCGATTTGCTAAATGACGTGGATATTCCTGGAACTGTCTGAGCAGCTCTTACCAAGCACTGTTCGCACGATGATGCACACATGTTTGATTTTTTTCCTTGCTTTGAGTATCTCTTTATCTCTCACTCAAGTTCTGTGTTCGTTCGACGTGCAGTCAATTTCCACTGGTATCATTTTATCGGTAACTGAATTTTTTTCGATGATTACCTGGACACCCGTCACAGTTACCAGCTGTATATGTACACAGTTCGTAGCTGAGAGTGATAATTATGACTTGCTCTCGTGAATCTATGCTTGAAGATGTCATTTCACTGCACATCAAGAGTATCAAGTTTTTTAAAGGCACCAGCTGCAACCAACTTGATGTTGTCGCTATGGAGAGCCTTTGTGAAGGAAAGAGTAAAATTGAGTGGGGAAGACTTAGTGCTAGTCTACCTCAATCATTCCATGGTACCCACACCTCCAGACACTCGTGCATGCAATCTGAGCAGAAACTGACAACAAGAACGCCATTGACGTCGATTGTCAGCCAAATCTTTCAGCGTCTCCAACCACGCCCACGGGGAATCATGTAGACCCCGTCCTGGAAGGCGAGTCGTACTGACAGCGTCCAGGCGTTTTGTGATCCCATTCGTACCTCTCAGCCAGATAAAAGATCAATCACTTCTCTGCTTACACCGATCTGAATTGGACACGGAAAACAATGCGTAATACATAACAAACCGTCGCAGCTTTCGATGCTGGGAACTCAATTTTTCTGGATGTATCCTGCACTGATGACCACGTTTGGGTTTGTTTAAAGGTGACCCTGCGCCGAACACACTGCAACACAGCTGGACGTTAAGATGTATACAAGGATGATGCTATTACCTCCAACTAATATACCAACTTCAGTTTGCTCAACCAGCGATCTCGTTTATCAATTCACTTGCAGTTGCAGGGACACGTAGATCAGTAAAGTTGACAGCATGCTAGGAACTCGAACAAAAATGCACCTTCAGAACGATTTCGTACACCGCTTGTTGATTCCAACTGAATGTAGATGGAGTCGAAAATCAATTAATCAATCTTCCGGTACCCAGTAGTGGCAGAACACAAAGTTGAACTTTGCTCGTCTTTCCGAGTCCTGGTACGGAGCAGCCGTCCACTGATGTTCCTTGGTTAATCGATTCAAGTCTGATAGGTGCGCTCAAAAAGAGTGCCTAGGCTTTATCGGTTGGTGACGTGACCGTTTAGTTTCTTATTATTGATGCAACTACCCCAGAATTTATCCTTTCACACGTGTTGCAGCAGACAAGGTCGTACGAATTCAATTAATTTCTGACATTTTTAGGGAATTAGAATGCTTTACGCTGTGTACTTTTTGGTTTTTAATCCAATGGCAGTTGTTCTGTGTGCCTATTTGGGCAATTAGGTGGTAAACGATTCATGGCCGACCAAACACCGGGCGTGCTTCCTATGGTTTGAACTACAATAATACTCCAGAAGTACACCAGCCTACATCTATGTACTGACTTGGGGTCAGAGTCTACATCGCTACATTATCCCAAACTTTTTGGGCGACAGTGGAGCAATGATGTCGCACTGCACTGGCTAGTTTATGGGCTAAGTGACTCATTCTCAATGAAATTCATTTGCCGATGATCTCATTAGCATATTAGTTTATTTTCGAGGTCATTGGCCTTCATATATGTAACTTTAAATCCTCATCAATACAGACTCGGCGAAGACCCGAACGCACTCAGTACTCCAGAGGCAACTACCTCAATATCTAGAACTGATGGACCTTCGGCAGTTCACAGCTCCACAGAACCGACCGAAGAAAAGAGCATCATTGTGAAAATGTGGCGCGAGGGGTTCAGCTTGGATAATGGTCCGTTGCGTTCCTACACCGATCCAGATTCCCGTACCTTCCTAGAGGATATCAAGTCTGGGAAGGTTCCGCAGGTAAATGAGCCAGTTACATTCACAATATGTTTTGTAGTCAGCGACGTTTCAATTCCGAATTTCTACATGGGGGGGGGGGATTTAACGTATACTGTGAGGCTGAAAAGCACTACCTCATCTTTGTTAGGAGGGGAATTCCTACGAAGACTAAATCCATCTTGCCTCCAATTCCATCGAGAAAGTAGAATAATATACTATTAAAAATACATGTTTTGGGAACACGCCAACGCACTGGTGGTTTCTAAAGTGTTCAAACTTTGACCAGACCAGTTGAACAGGCGCATCTTTCCAAAGTTCTATCATTACTAGCGAATATACACTCATTTGCAAACTAATTTGGTTCTCCGAGAGACTCACCTGGAACCCAGCTGAATCTCTCCTTTGTGCTGTTCTCAGGCAAATGAGTGTATATTCTCTAATTTCGTGCAATTTGGTTTCAAGTAGAACATAAGGTTGACGGAAACCCGGGGACTGCGCCTACCTGATGAGCCCCAAGAAGGGCGAAACCGATCGTGGGCTGTCGATGGATTTTCAGCAACTTAATGACTAGTACATTACAAAGATATTCTATCATTACTATTTGACAAGTTCGGAACTCACATAGAGTTCCTCCTTCCCACTGCAACTCCCTCAGCCCCCAGGTGTTATCGTTAGCAAGCACGTCGTAGTTCCTACCGTAGATTATGTGTGTACTCCCTAATGATCTAAGTGAATGACATCTTCAATGATTTGATAGTCAATACAGGTAAGCGGTCTTTTTTGTCTTGGTAGACTTCACTTACACCTTTTTTCTGCCGCTATACAACCAAAAGTCCACGTGGAATTCTGTTCCTGGATAATGTATTTAGCTTACAATCGGTCGCCTCGATTGGTTCGCCAAAACAATTAGCATATTGGTAAGAAAAAACGCCTCATGATAGCATCCTAGAAGTTGAATTTCCAATTTTCCGATTGCGGAAAGTAAGAGAAGGATGATTTGATTTCTAGAATTTCGAGCTAATGGCCTTCCCAAACGGAGGCTTTATGTGTTTTCATCCTGATAGAACTGCGGGAGGTGGATATTTTATTTCTAGCTTACAGATTAAAGACACATGGTGATTTAAGTCGCTCACCAGATACAGACCCATCAAGTCCATGATCCGCCCGCTGGGTATTCTGGCCACCTTTCAGCCCTGGTGCCTAGACAGACAAGAAAATTCAGTCCAGATTGGGGAATTTCATAAAATCAGAAGTTGAAAGAAGTCTGGGTGAATGTTGCGCTCACTGTACGATGGGTCATCGATATGGCGCTGGTGTTCTAGTTTTAACCGTGTCTCTTCCTTGTATCTCGGATTGCCGTCAGTAAGAGGTTTGAGCTTTGGAAGACCTTAGACGAGACGAACCCCAACTGTTCTCATTTAAGAGATGTTCATTACAGAGGAGGTAAGTTGTGATTGCTTGGTTCCACACAGATCGAAATTCTACAAATATTTTCATTTGTGTACCAATTTGGTTTTCACCAGACTCAGTAGAATCTCCTGTTTATGATCTATGAAGAGTTTCCGACTATCTTATGGGTGGTGTAATACGTCTTTAGGGGGCGAGTTGGCCTAAGTGGTTAGAGCGCGAATTTACTGATCGGAAGGTCCGTGGTTCGAGCCCGATCTCTGCCTCTCGACTTCTCTTGTCTAGACTTGGGCGACCTGGCCGTATCAAGGCCCTCGTGCTTTCTTCGGGTGGCATTGCAGCTAGGCACCGAAAGGGTGTTACAGCTGAACAATTGTTCTTTCTGTTGAAGAAGGAAACCCTGATATGGCGACCCCAGTTACTTGAGAACAATATTCCATGTCACTGCTTAGATGTCTACCTTGTGTGAACATATTCGCAAGCCTGCTGCTGAAATTTCGCCTCTTGTCCCTTCGTAGGAAAGGAGCTTGACCCATCGGAGCATTTAGAGTGGTCTTTCCTAGAGTTTGGGTGCGGTCTCTTCAATCAATTCAATTCAATTTATCAGCTGTAAGCCGTGTGCTCTAGGCATATTGATTTCAGATGCTACAGTTTTGATAACCGGAAAATGGGAAAGTGGAACAAACAACCAAGCCTTGGAGACGATGAAATGTTCAGTTTGTTCGAAAATCGGGTAGCTATGCATTGAAGGCGATAGCGCGAGTGCCAATGACTGCGCGGTTGGGCCAATTTCAAGCCAATTGTCAGGGTCCCGGACCGAAGTACTCTTGATTCGGAGAGAATGGTCTCTTTGGGAAGTAGATTATTGGGATTACCGTTTTCTATCAGATTTTGTCTTTGTTCGTGCTGTAATTTTAGGATGGATTCTTCTAGGTTCCATGCCTCCCACAAGGAGCGTGGCCAGCTGCATTGTGGTGCTGCAATAGTCAGTTCAACGAAAAATGTCACTTTGGCTTTAGATACCTCTCAGCTTAGTTCATCATTCAGGCCACTTAGAGGCCTACTTCCCCATCTCACTTTTATTTTTCTTTTAATTTTATACAGGAGTTGATTCGATCCGCTAACGGCGGTCTTGTCAATGTCTTCCTTGAAGATCACCATCATGAATCTTGGCGCGCTCCTCCTGCTCCTAAGGTAGTCCCATTTTCCGGCAAGGGGAACATGCTTGGACATCCAGTCCCGAAACTTGCTTCTGTGACTCCGGACTGCCAACAATCAACAGTATCCTCCTCATCCCCCTCGCCCGGTCCGACAGTGGACGATTCACAACCTGTTACTCAGCTGCAAGTGCGACTTCCTGATGGTGGAAGGTGAGTAGGCTGTCGCGGTTAGGAACGAACTGTATAAATACCTTGGTCCTTGGTATCATTTGCTTATGTGTGTACGTGTATTATGTATTCTTCGATTGCGTCTTCTGAGTGATGCAACCCACTAGCTGTCAGATTGTCCTTATATGGTTTGACGAATAGGGCCGCCCGTCGGAGAAGCAGATGACCTTAAAACAGTCCTCTCCTGCTCACTTTCCAGTCTTCTTACTTCAATTTTACCAGATAAAGAATGTTCAGCTGGCTTCACACGCGACCCAGAGTACACCACACATGGCGTTGTCTGCTGTGCGCAAGTGACAGTCTGATATTGCGCATCCCGAAACGAATTGTGTGTGTGTGTGACTATGACTTCGGCTAGACGAAGGTTCTAGTATCGTGGTAATGAGCCCGCAAGTCTATTGTCAAACAGGCGAAAATTCACACTGGATACGGTGCCGGTGAACAATAATTTTATGAAATGGGAGCGAGATGGCTAAAGTGGTTAGAGCTCGACTGTACTGACCGGAAGGTCCTTGGATCGAGCCCAACCTCTGATTCTCGGTTTCCCCTGTCTAGGCTTGAGCAACCTAGCAGTATCCCAGCCCTCGTGCTTCCTTTGAGTGGCGTGGCAGCTAGGTACCGAAAGGGTGTTACGATTATTATTTTTCACTTTAAATTCATGGAAAACGGGTAGCAACGAACCTAAAGCTTCCATGTCCGGGAGATTCTATCGCATAAGCGATAACCAAAGTACGGGGTTTACTGAAACTAAGCGAAATCAAATTAGCCTGTCCTGGTCTCGTCGGTTATCCATGTGGCTAGACGTTCAGTGTGTCTCGGATTCAATGATCCGATATTCCCATCAGATGCCCATCAGATGCCGATATTCGGTCACCTGGAGTTTGATTACCTGCACTTATTATTACCAGTAATTTCCCCATGCTACTACCGTCTCCGTTACGATCATGTGGCTCGTCACTGTACATAGTGTGTGTTGGTTCTGATTGAATTTACTTGAGCTGATGTGCGCATTGTTGTAGGAACTTTGGACAAACAAGCGGGCCTTCAGGGCCACCCAGAATTAAAGGGATGCCAAATCACGCTGGATTCGGGCGATTCCTACTCTGCCTTTTATAGCACATTTTCGCTCCGTGAGTTGATATCTTCTAACGTACCCTTATCGGCCCGTTGGAGCAAGACGGAAACCAGGGTTAGCAAACATGTGTTTACATTTATCTGCTTTTGGGTTATCGAAGCACGGATGTAACTTTGCTTCCAACTCCAAACTGGTCAACAATATAGTGCCGACACGTTCTCTATATTATTTGATTCCGCACGTGCTGTTAGTGGCCGCGGCAACAACAACGTCATTACTATCGTCATCGCTGCTATTCCCTTATACCATTCTTTCGTTTCTGTTTCCCTGCAAGCATCTCTGATGACTGAAGCAGCAGATGGACAGCTAGCCTTGTTTCCGGACTAACTCGTTGATTATGTGTACCTGGATTTTTTCACCCATCTATGTCCGCGGCTCATTTTTTGCCCCCGTGCCTTGATTACCTGATCAGCTGTCGCATGGAAATCTCTCCTGTGCAGTTTTTTTGTCTTTTCAGGTTGGTGATCCGATTGAATCACTCACACACGGTTCAGGATGTTCGACTGGCGATCATCAGGTGAGGGTCGGTCGGTCGGTCGGTTCAAATGGCTGTTAAAAATTATTGTTGCTCTTTTTTTCCGTTTTACATATTTTTTGGTGTTATCTGGAATTTAGGCTCGCACAATGTCCTTGTCTCCCCGAGTGACTCGGGCTTTGGACCCGTTTATTCTCTCTTTGGAGCTCGAGGTAGCTTAGTAGTGAGGTACGAACTTATTGACCAGAAGCTCTGTGGTTCGAACCCAACATCTGCATGTTGACTGCTCCTGTGCAGGCAAAGTGACAGCTCTCGTGCTTTCTTCAGATGACATGGCAGCTAGGTACCGAAAGGGTGTTACAGCTGAACGTTTGTGATTTCTATTTCAAACCCGACTTCTGCCTCTCGACTTCCCCCTGTCTAGGCTCGGGCAACCTGACAGTATCCCAGCTTTCGTGCTTCCTTCAAGTAGCATTTCAGCTAGGCACCGGTGTTACAGCGGAACGATTTGTGTGATCCCTATGCTACTGTTCGCGAAACACTGCTGTGTAACTCCCTGATTCCCGTCACATTTTATGTATGACACCTTATGAGTAAAGTCAGTGTATACTGAAAAACCGGGAAACATTACAGATATTCCATCCCTGCGGAAATGCGTCAGCTAGTTAAGGCTCTTTTATGCCTCACATCCTCTTTGGAGGTGAGGTTGTCGATCCGGCTAACCTGTAGTCCTGATCTCCATTTGATTGGGTTTCGTCAGTGAGGGTTGGAGTTGAGGTGTTAAAAGCAACGAGACAATAAGCACACAGTCATTATTACTGTGTACTTATCGTCAATTCCAAACACACCTCGACACATGTTATCAGAGCGGCTCTTTGGAGAGCCGGAGAGCTGATATGATAAGAGAACGATGGAATACGACGTGACTGATAGTTCTGAGTCAGCCGAAACCCCCCCCCCCCCCCCCA